CACCCACGAGTCCATTCAGTCATTCATTCAGAGACAGAGTCCTGCTCTGTCACCAGGCACCAGGCTGGAGTGCAGTGGTATGATCTCAGCTCACTACAACCTCCACCTCCCGGGTTCAAGCAATTCTCCTGCCTCAGCCTCCAGAGTAGCTGGGACTACAGGCGTGCACCACCACGCCCACCTAACTTTTGTATTTCTTAATAGAGATGGGGTTTCATCACGTTGGCCAAGATAGTCTCGATCTCTTGACCTCAGATGATCCACCGGGCTCGGCCTCCCAAAGTGTTGGGACTACAGGCCTGAGCCACCATGCTCGGCCAATTTTTTGTATTTTTATTAGAGACAAGTTCTCTCTCTGCTTTCCAGGCTGGCCTCAAACTCCTGGCCTCAAGTGATCCTCCTGCCTCAGCCTCCCGATATGCCCAGCCACATGGGATATATTTATACTTAAAAATTATTCATTGTTTATCTAAAATTCTAATTTAACTGGGCATCCTTATTTTTATTTGCTGAAAAATTCAGCAGCCCTTTCAGTGTGGTTGGTGAAGTTGCTCCCATTCTGAACGTGAGAAGAACAAAGCTCACTAGAGCGTAAGTAACTGGCCGGAGGTCACGGGTCAATCGGGTGTCAAAGACCAGGCTCTTGGTCTGCACAGCTGCCTCCTCTCAGCCCAGCAACAGGCCCAGAGCCAGAGAACCTCGCCCTGAGCGCCTTCCCCCTGTCCAAAAATGACCCTCGGTCCCTGGAGGTAAGCTGGGAACCAGAGGAGCCATTTTCTCATGGGGAGAGTGTGCTGGGGAGGCATCCTCGGGTGGGTGGCTGGGGGCAGATGCAGGTGTGGGAGAGAGCTGCAGCCAGCCAGGGTGGCACCCACAGCCCTTCCGGGAGCCGCCGCTGCCTGGGGCTGGGACCTGGGGCCAAAACGCCAGAGAAAACTCCGGAAGCTCCAGAGGAAACCCCTCAGGAAGCCCCGAAATAGTTCCATAGCCAGAGTGAAAACTTGCTTGCTTTCTTTTTTTCTCCTGACAATAAGTTTTGCTGTTGTCACCCAGGCTGGAGTGCAGTGGCGCGATCTCGGCTCACCATAACCTCCGCCTCCCAGGTTCAACCGATTCTCCTGCCTCAGCCTCCCAAGTAGCTGGAATTACAGGCATCCGCCATCACACCCGGCTAATTTTGTATTTTTAGTAGAGACAGGGTTTCATCATGTTGGCCAGGCTAGTCTTGAACACCTGACCTCAGGTGATCCTCCTGCCTTGGACTCCCAAAGTGCTGGGATTACAGGCATGAGCCACTGAGCCCGGCTCCAGAATGAAAACTTTCAGGGGAGAGCAGCCGTGAGGGTGGCACGGCCTCTTTGAGTCCAGGGCATAGACCCCAGTGCCTGGCAGCTCGGCCCAACTGGCAGGGACAGCCCCCCAGAGCCCACGCAGATGACCCAGCCCCCCACCCCCAGACAGCCTGCACGGTCCCCATCTCCGCTCTCCTAGACCCTAAGGTGGAGGTTCACTTCCATCATTCTCAGCTCTATTTTTACACAAAGGTGGTAAGGAGGACAAACCTTCACAGCGGGACAGCAAAGTCGTCTGAGTCCATGCGGCTGTGAGGCTGAGCTCTTCTGTGAGCAGGGTCAAGAAAGGGCTCCGGCCCGTGGGGGGCTGCTCTCCAGGGCTAGCCAGGAGTCTAGGTCCAGCGCCCAATCCCTGGCCAGCGACACCCAGGCAGGGACACTCAGCCTCCTCCCCACCCGGCCGAGGAAGTCCAGCAGCATCCCCCAGGCAGAGGAACAGCGCGTGTACAGGCACCGAACTGTGAACCCGAGTGGTGTTCCTGGGAAACCGGGGAGAGGGTCAGCGCGGCTGGTGGGCTGGGGCGTGGTAGCGGGTGCCAGGAGGGAGGCCACGCTGGAGATGGGTTGCAGCCAGTCTCTGTAAAGGCTCCCATGTTGTGCTAAGGAATCTGGAGTTTACCCTCCAGGAAGGAAGGAGCCACGGAGGCTTGAGGGGTGATGCTGCAGGTGCCGGGTCCTTCCCGCCCAGCGTGGCCAGTGCAGGCCTCACCTGGGCTTGGTGGAAATGCAGAATCCAGGCCTGGCTCTCAACTGTAATCCCAGCAGCCGGATCACCTGAGGTCAGGAGTTCAAGACCACCCTGGCCAATGTGGCAAAACCCCGTCTCTACTAAAAATATTAAAAAATTAGCCGGCTGTGGTGGTGGGCGCCTGCAGTCCCAGCTACTTGGGAGGCTGAGGCAGGAAAATCACTTGAATCCAGGAGGCAGAGGTTGCAGTGAGCCGAGATCACACCAGTGCACTCCAGCCTGGGCAACTTTTTTTGAGACTCCTTCTCAAAAATAAAGAAATAAATAAATGGATAAGAAAGTGCTAAGTGATGTGGCCCAGAGCAAGCAGTACTAAGGATTCTGGGCCACGATCTCTAAGGCCAGTGCTAGAATCAGGCCTGGAGGGCTTCTTGGAGGTGGTGGTAGCTGAGCTGAGGCCTGAAGCTGGTTAGGAGATCCTTGGAACACAGAGGTTTGCAGGATGGTGAGGGCCTTACTGGCTAGAGGACAGCAGCCTGCTGGGGTGCTGGGAAATAGAAATGGGTAACAAGAGGGTCCCCCAGTCAGTCTGGACTCAGAAAGGCAATGACCCATTGAACCCACTGAAGCTTTCTGGGCAAAGGAGAGAAATGGGTTTAGCGTCACCACAGGCGATTGGAAAGGGAGTGGCGTCCTTCACTCAGGGAGGGGCTTGAGGACAGCACCTCAGGCACCTGCCACAGTCCCACCCGCAGGGTCCCCAGGCTGGAGCCAGCAGCTCCTCTCCAGCCAGTGTGAACTCCGTCCTTCCTTCCCAGGGAGCAGGACATGGAATCCGCTCCCACCGTCGGTTTCTGAAGATTCTACACTCAAAGATGGCATATGGTGCCCAGCTCACCTAGGCCTCCCAAGGGCAGCGCAGGTCAGGAGCTGCCGGGGGGCATGCGAAATGCCTGCTGGCCTTGACCATGGCAAAATGGCTGTTCCAGGCAGCGGGGCGGACAGCTGGCCTCTCGTCACCCTCCCTGCGACGCACTCGCAAAGTCACTACCAAGGCTTTCTGCTCCACTAACACCGAAGTCGCCCGTCAGGGGAGAGAGGGGGCAGGGAGGGCGCGGGTGTGCCCAGACGAGGCACTCACAAAGCCCGATGACGCCCGAGCTTCCGCCACGAGGAGGAGGTGAACGGAGGGCAGAGGAGACCTCGCGCGTCCCCCGCATGCGGCCCCCTGTGGCAGAAGCCACCAGCAGAGGCCAAGAACAACAGCCGCCTTCTCATCCTTAAAATCAGGCCAGCTGATTTCCCAGGCTGACCTCACTGCGCATGAGAACAGCGGCTAGACCCCGGTACCTGTGAGGTGTCCAATCAGTCGCTTTATTTTTATTCCTATGGGGAAGTGGCTGAAAAGATCTGTGTCGGGGGTGCCTTTCACCTGGCCAGGAGCCAGAGTGACGGAAGGGTCCCAGGGTCCCGCTTGGCTTGCGGTCCCCACCACAAGCAGCTGCCTGAAGGTGTGAGCCCCCAGGCCACGCCTTCCCCCAGGGGGCTGGGCCCTCAGCAGGGGACCTCCAGGCTCCTGGGCTATCTGGGCGGGAGTGGCACTGGGGGCCTGCACCACCCAGCCCGTCATTAACACGCTGATCACAGGCCGAGTTCAAACTCAGCATCTGGCTCCGCGGCCCAGCAGGCCCGGGGCTCGGCAAAGGACCTCGGTGCTCACTGGCCTGGTTTCCGGCTGAGGGCTCTTTCTTTTCCTTTTGAAGCTGTGGAGGTGGATCTGAAAAGGCCGGAGAGCAGGGCCAGGACTCTCGGTCTGTGCCAAGTCCCCACGTCCTCGCCCCTGGCCTCGCTCTGGAAACTGGGCCCCAGCCCTCCCCACACCCACCGCCAAAGTCTACTCTCGCCCTCCCTTCCTGGGTGTTTGTGTTTGTGTGGGGGAAGTCTGTGTGTATGTGAGCAGTCAGCACTTCCTGCCAATAATCCCAGGAACAAGCTAACACAGGACATGAGTGGCAGGCACGTGGGCTCAAGTGCCCATGGGGAGCTCTCCTGAGGCTCAGCCTCCCAGGAAGAGGCAGCCTAGCTGGTGGATGCTTCCAGAGACCTGGGGGAAGAGGGAGGTCCTGATATCTCAGGGGTTCAGGGGCAAGACTTCACAACTGTCATTCTAGCTAAAGAAATGAGCCCAGATCAATCCACCTCAGTCAGAGAAATCCCAGCTGCCAAAGGCCCCCCGGCACCACTGCAAAGGTAAGGAAGTGTGGGAGAAAAAACCCCAGTTTAGAGTCGGGGCAGCCCAGCACACAGCTCCCGGCTTGTAATCGACAGCCTTGAATTCATTCATTCATTCATTCATACATTTATATTTACTTATTTATTTATTTTATAGAGTCTCACTCTGTTGCCAGGCTGGGGTGCAGTGGCACAATTTCAGCTCACTGCAACCTCCACCTCCCGAGTGCAAGTGATTCTCCTGCCTCAGCCTCCTGTGTGGCTACAGGTACACACGACCATGCCCAGCTAATTTTTAAATTTTTAGAAAAGATGAGGTTTCACCATGCTGGCCAGGCTCAAACTCCTGATCTCAGGTCATCCACCCACCTCAGCCTCCCAAAGTGCTGGGATTACAGGTGTGTGCCACCGCACCTGGCCTGATCATTTTTTTAAATAGAGACAGGATCTTGCTGTGTTGCCTGGGCTGGTCTCAAACTCCTGGACTTAAACCATTCTCCCACCTTGGCCTCCCAAAGCGCTGGGTTACTCTCAGCCCCAGGGCATACCCTTGCACGGAACACACTGGAAACGAGTCCCTGCGCCTGGCCAATTAATTCTTAACTTCCCTGAGCCCTGGTTTCCTTCCCTATAAAGCAGAGGTAATAATTCCAGCCTTCTAACACGGGGGCCAGGCAGGATTAACTGAAGTGCCTGGGCCAGTGTAGACACATGGCAGGTACTCAGTTGGTACTCGCTATCGTCTGCAGGTACTCGGTTGTTACTATTGTCTGCAGGTACTCACTACTAGCTATTGTCGGCAGGTACTCAGTTGTTACCATAGTCTGCAGGTACTTGGTTGGTACTATTGTTTGCAGGTACTCGGTTGGTACTGGCTATAGTCTGCAGGTACTCAGTTGGTACTGGCTATCATCTGCAGATACTCAGTTGGTACTCGCTATCAACTGCAGGTACTCAGTTGGTACTGGCTATCGTCTGCAGGTACTTGGTTGGTACTGGCTATCATTTGCAGGTACTCAGTTGGTACTGGCTATCATCTGCAGGTACTCGGTTGTTACTATTGTCTGCAGGTACTCGGTTGGTACTATTGCCTGCAGGTACTCGGTTGGTACTGGCTATCATCTGTAAGTACTCAGTTGGTACTGGCTGTCGTCTACAGGTACTTGGTTGGTACTGGCTATTGTCTGCAGGTACTCAGTTGTTACTATCGTCTGCAGGTACTCAGTTGGTACTGGCTATCATCTGTAGGTACTCAGTTGGTACTGGCTGTCGTCTGCAGGTACTCAGTTGGTACTGGCTGTCGTCTGCAGGTACTCAGTTGGTACTGGCTGTCGTCTGCAGGTACTCAGTTGGTACTGGCTATCGTCTGCAGGTACTCGGTTGGTACTATTGTCT